CATACATACATACATTACATGCATTACATACATTACATACATTACATACATTACATACATTACATACATTACATACATTACATACATTACATACATTACATACATTACATACATTACATACATTACATACATTACATACATTACATACATACCATAACATACATACATCCATACCATAACATACATACATCCATACCATAACATACATACATACCATACATACATACATTACATACATACCATACATTACATACCATACATTACATACCATACATTACATACATAATATTACATTACATTACATTACATAACATTACATTACATTACATTACATTGCATTACATTACATTACATTACATTACATACATATGTATGTATGTATGTATGTATGTGTGTATATATATATATACACGTGTATATATATATATATATATATGGTGGGGATCATGAAATGGGGGTACCCCGAAATCATACATTTTAATAGGATTTTCCGTTATAAACCAACCATTTTGGGGATTCCCCATTTATGGAAACCCCCATATACATATGTATACGCTCAGCACCTGCAAGAAACATGGTTCCCAGCGGCTTCTGGATCTGAAAAACTAACGAGAAACCAACCATACAGACAGACAGACAGGCAGACAGGCAGACAGACAGCCAGACAGGTAGACAGGTAGATAGGTAGACAGGTAGATAGGTAGATAGGTAGATAGGTAGATAGGTAGATAGGTAGGTAGATGGATGGATAGACGGATAGCTGGATAGGTGTAGATAAATAGATCAATGTCAATATCATGACCCACATAGGCCCACCATCGACGCTTCTTTCAATCGTGGATTACGGTTGTGCCAAGTGTCTCCCAGTAGGCATCTCACCTCAAACTCCAAAAGGACCATGATCAAAAAGCGCCGCTGGCACCACGTACTGCTTGAGCATGGCACCTGCCCAGGGTGACCCCCGCTGGCGACCTATGACCTATGGATCATCCATATTCTCAGTAGATTCCCCATTTCTGGTGGATAAACCAATGGGGAAAACAGATGGAAGAAATGGAAGTAGAAGAGTTTTAAGATCCAAGTTCTGAGAGGGTCCTAACATGGGGTTCCCCCCAACTCATCCATTTAATTTCAATAGGATCTTCTATTATAAACCATCCAGCTATTGTGGGAACCCCCATGGGCTTAAGAAACCTCCATCTTTGCGTTCAGCAACTTCTCACCTTCCCGGAAAGCCACCTGCCTGCCCTTGGATCCCCTTTGCTTGAAGTTCTTGCGACTGGCGTCGAAGCCTGCAGGGTGATCTCACTGCTATGGACGACCACCACGTTTTGTAGGCAAATCATCTAGAAACGGGCAATTTTCCATAGCTATGTTAGAGTACCAAAGGGGAGTGTTTGAATGTGTTTGACATCTTGGAAGTTTCAACTCCCCAACCTTTCATATTGACTAATCATTTCCTCCTCCCCTGCACTTTCGGACATTTTTGCCGCCTGTGCGCGTTCTGCAAACACGTCAACGCATAGCGCAGGCTTTCAGGATCGTTCGGGTCTTTTGCCTTCCGCGTGGAGCAAAAGGGGGGGACTGGATGGATAGGATGGAAGTACTGCTGAACCAGTAAAGATATGTAAAAATCAGGATCCGCAGCCAACAAACATTGGTTGAGTCACCTGCAGTTCTCCATCCAGGGCATGAGAATATCGGTCAACAAGAGTCTCCTCTGCCAAGGGGATGCCTACAGTTTTCTTCTCCAGTAAGGTAAAAAAGCGCCACAAAGGGCCCATGCCTGCTGCACTCTGGCTGATGCATCCATCACCAAGAACCAGATGCGGACGTCCATGAAGTCACGCACCCTGTGGCCGTGCAGACTGTGTCGTAGGCGAGTGTGGGCAATGTCTCAGTACTGTGCAAATGCATGGAATGAGAGGACTGGAAACCCAAAACTGCATCACACAGCCTGTCCTGTACATTGGAACACCAAGGGGTTCCTTATGAACAGACATGAACAGACCATCAAACGGTCAAGCGTTGCGTCCCGCCAAACGACCCTTTTTGAGCTCCCAAGGCACAGCACCTTGCGGAATCAACACCTTCTGCTGTCGGATCGACTGTCTCCAGGATCTCCAAGATCTGATGTCCAGCTTCGAACCTTTCAACAAATCACAGCAGCCTCCAGGGCCTCCAAGGCAGGGCACTGCTGCGCCATTTGAGGCACCGACATCAAAGCGGCAGAGGTCCACTGAAGACTTTCACCAAATTCCTGACCTTTGCCTCAGATCATGTGAGCCGTTGTGTAAATTCATTGCTAAGGCCAAGTTCCCCCCCAAAAAAAAATATTTTTTAAATAGGGGTATTATCGCTACACAGTGTTTGGTGCATTTTCCAAACACAAGAGAGCTCTCCCAACATAAGTGGTCTACCAGAACTTTGACCTTACCTCATGTGAAGCCAAGATGACTTGATGACCAGGTTTTCTTCAACACGTCTGCAGGGTGTTTGTTCGGTGATGCCCAAAACAACCCGTCTGTCTCAAAATGGAAACGGTTTCCAACAAACATGGATATCGCATAATCATGTATCTACATATTATATATATATATATGTACATAGTTATCTGTTTCTATATATATATACAGTCCACACCCCAAGAATTTTGCTTCGCCAAGCCGCTCCAGGCCGTGGCCAGCAGCTGCCTCAGCGCGTGCAGCGTTGGGCGCTCGTCGGTGAAGGCCTGGCGCAGCGTGGCGCCGCAGGCGGCACTGACAGAAGCGGCGTGGCACAGGAGCCGCCGGAGATCCTTGGCCGATGGAAAAATAGAGGGGCCGGGTATCATCTATCATCAATAGGGATGGTCCATACAGATCATGTTCATAGTAGGGAAACCTATCAACATCTATCATCTATCATCAAACAAACCTGTTGTTAAAGGTGTTTCTTCAAACCCCTATTAATTAATCAACCAACCAGAAAAGGACATCTATGGGGAAAAAAAAAGGATGGATGGGATGGCATTCACAAAAGATTGCTGGCACCAAAGTGTCTTGGACAGTGCTCGAGCAACCTTGAATGGGTGATTACAAGCCCAGCCACAATTCCACACGGCCGCCTACGGAATGGGAACCTGGGTAGTTTCAAGTTTTTCTGAAAACAGATTGGTATGGCTTAAGATTACCCAGGTGACCGCAGATTTTGGTGCATGTTTATAGTAGCAAACTTGGTAAAGCATCCCTTTTTGGGATAATTACCCTATTAAATGTCCTATTAAAACATATTAAAACCATAACTTGGATAGACTTGAGGTCTGGAGTATCCCCTATTTCCAGACACATAACTTGTCAACACAGCCAGGGCTCTTCCACCGGTCGTTGAAGTTCAGCCATTCGCTTCAGGAGCTGGGCTGCCATTGTAAGGCCCGACAAGTCGCTCTGGCTGTCCTTGGCCGTGCACATCATGAACAACTCCAGGCCAGCCAATCTCAGGTCCTTCGCGGCGGTTCAACCCTTGAGATATGGAGGGTTCAATGGAATAAATGGAATTCATGGGCTAAAGATGGTAACCAACAGGCTGAATATGTTTGTCTGAAAATGTGGTATACCCCCAATTCAATTCATAATTATAGCCATTGATTTGTGCAAAATGATGAACCTATCTACTTTGAGACAAAGCCAAATAGATGGGTTAATTTATATACAGCTTTATATAACATTCCGACAGGTTGATTCTGTGCTACCCACAAAGCCTACTTCCAGCTCCATGCACCCCTAAGAACACCCCGATTCCCCAGTTCAAACCCCATTTCTGGGAGTTCTATGGCACACTTAGAAAGTCAAAGTGGCCTAATGTTTCAACAACGACAAGGTTCCTGATGCTTCAATAAGCATCACTCCTTTTTACTTTTATTATCAGGAGGGGAGTTTAGCCACAATTCAACCACCCCAAGTGAGGTCCTCAGAGGGCTGCTCAAGGGTGGCCTTTGCTGCTCTAGCAGCTTGGGAGCGCCTCAAGTTCACAAGCCGCTGGATCGTCGGGTGCGCGTGAAACAAGCTGGTGGGCAGCCCCAAACTTGTCTGGTTGATACCTCAAAATGTCTAAATTATTTTAGGTTTCATTTGGCACATTCCAATTTTCCCCTTGGCACCTGAGCTCCACACCACAGGTTGGGGTTCTTCCCAAGCTTCTCGACACATGACCACGCCTCCGATGATTCACCACCCGCCTGCAGCGTTTTTGTTGGTCCGTGATCCCAAAGAAATCCACAAGATTCTCCAGCTCAAAATGTCACCATCAACTCACCATCAACTTCTCGAATCTTTGGTCAAAACAAATTAGTTCTAACATGTTCTAACCCCATAGCATCATGGCCCAAGCCGCCTTCAACTGCTCACAACTGAGCTCCAGGAGGTGGAGAATCGCATCTGCTTCATCTGTAGCCGCGGCCTCCCAGCAGCGGTTGTAGCATCCACAACCGTCCGCTGGTCGAAGAAGGGGTAAGGATGTCCAGCGGCAAGAACCACACCTATTGCCACTCATACCCCTATATAATTGCCTATATATATATTATAACATTATATACATATATACATATATACATATGTGTATATATATATATTATAACATTATATACATATATACATATATACATATGTATATATATATATTATAACATTATATACATATATACATATGTATATATGTATATATATATGTATATATATATGTATATATATATATATGTATATATATATGGTACCCCCCCTGAAACCTACCTTTTTGATCCTTTTTGACATATTCATCAGATGGTTGGGTCAAAAGGGGGTTGCCTTACATACACGCTAAGGGTATAATATATATATATTCTTATAGTGTAATAAGTATGCTATTGAGACTGATTGACCTTAACTTCAATGATAGCATTCTGGGAAGAATGCATTCAGAATGCAGTCTCTGCATTCTGGGAAGAATGCATTCAGAATGCATTCTCTGCTAAAACCCATGAACCAAGAACCAAGATTCCCCCAGGACTCCTGAACAAATCTTGGGATTTCCGAACCAAAACCAAGAACCAAGAACCAAGATTCCCCAAAGACTCCTGAGCAAATCTTGGTTCTTGGTTCTTGGTTTTAAATCTAAGATTCCCCAAAGACTCCTGAGCAAATCTTGGTACTTCGTTCTTGGTTTTAAATCTAAGATTCCCCAAAGACTCCTGAGCAAATCTTAGATCGTAGATCTTAGATTAGGGAAAGAATGCATTCTGAATGCATTCCTGTGGAAATGCATCCATCTTGGGTTTCCCTTAAGCAGATGGGATTGATTCAACGTTGTGCGCCCTGCAATGGGCAAACAAACAATAAGAAGGTTTATGACCACAAATGGTAGGTTCATGTTGGTGAAATTCAGCGTGCCTATGCGTTTTGTGGTCTTACAATAAGCAATGATCCAATGGAATAATAATGTCATATATATATATATTATACAGGCAACGCAACATTTAAGCAACAATACCCCTGAGTGTTTTCATGCAAACACCAACCTAAACGCAACATTCGCAAAATAATGGGTCAAAAACAAAACACCATCACAAATCCTGCGTTCAGCTTGCGAGAAGCCAAAAAGAGACGACTTCTGCAAGACACTGTTCCGCAGCTGATTTCTTGAAAACAACACAAAAAGAGACGACTTTAGCAGTTCCCGGTATGGTATGTATGGTCAAAGTTCGTATGGTATGTATGGTATGCATGGTATCATTGGAATGTATGGTAGGTACGGTATATGTTAAACACATGTAGTGTTGTGAGAGTACACAGGTAGTAAATAGGAAGTAGATACATAGCATATGTATATATGACTATCACTGTAGGTTGCACGTAGGCACTTTGAGGGAGCATGTGTGCTACGGAGGTCGTCGAAAAGGTAGCATGTACCTAGTAAATGCGAGGCTGGTAGTCAGAAATGCTGCAAAGACCTAGCAAATACGAAGCTGGACCTCAGAAATGCTGCCAATCGCTTTCAAATAGAAGGGAAGGGGGTGCTACCTGGGGCCCCATACCATTGGGGGGGGTAGGAACACGGAACACGTGACCCTATGCATATATATATATATACATATATATATATATAAAGATGCTCTCACTTCACTTTTTGACCCACTTCGCAGCAGGTTTCTCAAAATGTTTGAAAAAGGAACTGTTAAACCCTTTACTTGTGGCAACATGCTACCGAACCTACCTTAGGAAGACCCCTCTCCAGAGCAGGGCCAAACCCCATGCAAGGGAGACTGAGTCCATTCCACCTTTGGAGATACCAAGCCAAACCTACTAGTCCTCCAAATGCCTGGAATGCGGTAGCATGTTGAAAATATCCAAATGGAAACTTCAAAGGCGCCTTTTTTGACGCACGTTGTCTGCTCTGTTTACCTCTCTTTCAGGAGTCGGGGGACTCCCGAGTTGTACAGGAGGGAGGAGTTCCGATGAGTACAGGAGTTGGGGGACTCCCGGGGGGTGAGGGAGGGAGCTTGAAAAGAACACTTCGGGATCAAAGGAGTTACGTGCAGCATCTTAAAATCCGGGGCCGTATTATCAAAGATGCTCTCACTTCACTTTTTGACCCACTTCGCAGCAGGTTTCTCAAAATGTTTGAAAAAGGAACTGTTAAACCCTTTACTTGTGGCAACATGCTACCGAACCTACCTTAGGAAGACCCCTCTCCAGAGCAGGGCCAAACCCCATGCAAGGGAGACTGAGTCCATTCCACCTTTGGAGATACCAAGCCAAACCTACTAGTCCTCCAAATGCCTGGAATGCGGTAGCATGTTGAAAATATCCAAATGGAAACTTCAAAGGCGCCTTTTTTGACGCACGTTGTCTGCTCTGTTTACCTCTCTTTCCAAGCCCCCCTTTCCTTCCGCTCTTCGGCGGAGGCTCAAGTGTTCCAAAGCGAGGATACTGTACAGTTTGGTGGAACACAGTAAGGTAGGGTTGGATGGTAGGGGAGGTTGGTGGAATTTGCATAGACGCAAGGACGGCAAGCCCTTCATTCAGATACACTCGGGCACTCTTTTGTGTGTGCCAACGGCCTTGGACCAGAATGCGGTCAAAAGACTGATGTTTAGAAAACCAAAAAGTAGCCCCGCCACGCCTAAGGCTATAGGGCCGAAAACCATGGCGTGTGAGTCCAAGTGAGTGGAGGCACTCATTGAAAAGGCTCCTCCAATTTGCTGGGTTCTTAGACAAACAGGTCAGGGCGGAAGCTTTCAGCTTCCATTGACGCACAATCTTGACGGCTGGTTCAAAGCCTAAGATAACGCTTTCTGCTGCCCCGTGTCTTTTGCCTCCTTTTGTGAGGCCAAGGGAAATCACAACTTGTTTCGCGTTACTAGAAGAGAGCATGTGGGATGCACGTAATCCAAGCAACTCACCAGTACGCAACATGGCATAGAAGCCCACAAGCAGCGAAACCCCAAAAGTTACATATCCTTTAAAGAACGACCATCCTGCCATGGCCATCAGGACATGCTCGGGTAACGGAGGTGCCCGATTTGGGATTTCATTGACATGCCATGTCTTCAGGAGCCGCCAGGCTCCAGGTAGGTGATTGCGAAGGTTGGGCTGCATATCTTGAAGTCCTGCCAATGTGTCACAAGCAAGGGCCCGCCCGGCCCCCGGTGCCCATAGATGCTCAAGATAATCGCAGACCAGTGCATCCATTTGCCCCTTCTCGCGGGGTAAAGAGAGCCGTTCTGAGGTGAGAAACCGAAGGAATGCATCTGTTGCCTTTGTATACCGCTTACGAGTCGCAGGTTGCACTGTGAGTTGTCGCAAAGTTCCAAGTTTTCGCCTTTGTTTCGCCCTTTCTTCTGGCTGGTCCACTTCAAGGATTCGCTTACGCGGCATCCCGGAATTTACTCCTGACCCGCTTCCCCCAGCGACTGGGTTTATCAGCGGGGTTCTGATCTGTGTGCACGTATCCCCAGACAGGCTGGGAATTGGAAGCCAGAATAAGGGCGTTAATGCGGGCGAGGGTGCGACGGAGCGCTCGGGAACTAGAGCGCCCTCGAGACAAACAGTGCAGGCACACTAAACTATCAGTTAAGTGTAAAAACCTGACATTCATGTGACGTTTATGTTCCAAACGCCACTTCAAAGAGGTCAAGATTGCGCGAAGTTCAAGAGCATTTATATGCTCTCGACCCAAGGCCCAGCGCCATCCTGCAATGATGCGCCATTTCCACAGCGAGGAGGGCACACTCGCCCTAAGACGGTGGAACCGTACTAGCTGGGATGTAGGCGTCGATAAGGCAATGTCTTCACCCTTGACAGATATGAGATTGCCCAGTTTAAAGGCCAGATGATACATAGAGCCCACCGGTTGCTCACGGCATGGATTCAAGGGTAAGCGGACAAGCCGTCCCTGTACAGTGCCTGCGGTGGCTGGAAGCAGCGCTTCCAAGACCTGTTGGGGCGTAGGGGCCGGGATGAGACCCAACCACCCGAACAGTTGGCCAACGAGCCATGCCACCACTGGAACGCTCCAAGTGTTACCTAAAAGGGTCAACCGGGTATCATTGTAGGCCTCATTTCCACGCAGACCTTTGGCCACACAGGCGGCAGTGTAATGGAGCGGGAAGCCCAACATCATCTCGCGCTCGGACACATCCGGCACCCGGAGCTGGTTGTGGCGATTGACAAGGCAGTGCTGAGTGCGGTACTGATAGGGCGGGAAGCGGTGCTTGTCGGCGCTCCAACGCTTTACCTCTTCGGTGCAACTATGCAACCCCGCAGGTTTACGGCCTGGCTTGGCCTGCGGCCTGGCTGTCGTGAAGGTTGGAAATGGCATGGAGGGCTCAACCTTGATCCATCCACGACGCGTGACCTCCGCGATTGGCTGGCATCCTTGTAGACGGATCTCGACAGGGGACCATTCCCCCGAATGTTGACTCATGTCCACATAGAGCTCGTCAATCTCCCAGTCCACCCAATACAATCGCGGGCGCTGACACCAGGTAAAACTCCCGGAGTTGCAGGAGATGGGCCTCACCCCTACTGCTTTTGACATTGTCTCCCTGTCGGCGGTATCCATTGAGGCAACTGACTCCATGAGGGTATAGACTGGGCACCAAACAAAGCACCGTTTCAGGAGCCCACGCACCCGCGGTACATGATTGAAGAGGCAGGACCGCTGGTCCTTGATCGCCCCTTTCCGGTCCGCATTCAGGCCGCTGACCCCCTGGCAGGGAGGGCCAGCCCCGAGAAGCACCAAACTGGCTTGTGAGAACATAGTGCTCCAGCACTGGACCATCTCCTCAGTGATGAGCTCCACGTCCTCCACCGTCACAGTACCTGGATAATGTGCCTCAACAACCCTGCGGGCAGAAGCTTCCTTCTCCACTGAAATGTGTCCAATCACTTGAACGCCAAGACTGTCCAGGGCTACACACAAGGCCCCGATACCGTCGAAGAGCCCAACGGTGAGCACCATGAAATCCGAGCGGTTCTCAGCCAACTCCCCTCGCAGGCTACCTTGCGACACCAATTTCCCAAATGCGGTAGGCGCCACTGATGCACAAATCCCGCCCCCAGTGCTGGAGGCGTCTGAGCAACTCACCACTTCATGCATGTCCAGGCGGAAATCAAGGCGTGCCAGAGGGAGACATCCCAAGAAGCGCAACACCTCGAGCTTGCAGTCAAGGGGAGTTGCCAGATATCGGCGTCCACAGGTGTCGAAGTGCTCAATGTGCCTCCAAACCTGATTCAAGCCACCTAACAGGGGACGCCGAAACATGGCCACGTAGACCAGACCCCCGCAAACCACCTGCCACTGTCGCTGACTGGCTGCCGGGCGAAGGCAGAGGTCCAGAGCCATAGTGAAATACTTGGCAAGCTTGGCCTCGCGAGGGTAGGCTACACCAAGCACCCCGTCCACCGTTGCTCCCTGTACCTCGCACTTGGGGCTGCGCTGAACAGCCTTCTTCATGTTTCTAGGGACCTCCCACCTCTCGTATTCTTGGCGCAACGCCAAAACCCCTGGCGCAACCGACTGTTCCAGAGAAACCATCTCCGTTGCCTTCACCTTCTCCAGGAGATCATAGTTGTCAAGATAAACCCTCCAAGTCACATCTCCCGATGAGAAGGGCCGGTCCTTCCGCAATTCCTGTTCCGGCGCATTGAGCTTCCGGCAGGGGTCACCCGCCCCCGATGCCATGACCAAATTGCGGTGTACATGCTGCGCGAGACTCACGGAGTTAAGGAACCCCATGGGTAAGACTTGCGAAGCAAGGTAAACACGCCGACCCTGGAGGTGGGGAGGAAGGACAAGGTCAGGTACCAGTTTGTTAAACGCCAAAAACTTTACCCATGCCTTCGGCACAGACATCGTATAAAAGAAGCATTTAACATCTTCACTGGAAACAAGGAGACACTGAGAGGGCTGAAGGAAAAAAGGCGACATACCACTCCAGGCTGGCAATGTATTCACATCACCTGCCATTGGCATACAAAGCGCATTCAGTGGGACTAAATTCATAATTAACCGGAAAACCTCAGTCCCACTGTCTGTCCACTCATCCTTTGTTACTCCGAACAGCCCGTTCAGAAGGGGTCCTTCACCATCATCAAAAATCTCATGCTCTTCAATCAAGGTACACACTTCGGCGTCCAACAGACCAATACACACTCGCGCCCAGTTTGCATCATCCACCATCACTCGAGGCGGCTTGACACGTCTCCTTTCATGAACAGGCTTGAGAAATTGGTCGAAGTTTAAGACATAGTGTTTGGATCCCAGAGTACAGACGTCAGCGAGAGGAACCTTACCGATTTCACGAGGTAATGCCGGAGAAATGTTTTCCCAGCAAAACTTCCGAGCTACTTTGACTTCATCACCTTTATAGTCGATGGACCTCACGCTGAAAAACGATTTCCAATCCAGGTCCACAATGGTGGTCTCAATTTCACAGAATCTTTTGACCTCCGTCAAGATACCTTGAAGACACATTCTTTGGGAAACGTTGGGGGAATCCTCAACCAAGACCTCACCTCCCCAAGAAGAATTCAGGGAAAAAGTCACACACTGCGCCCAGGAGATCACCTCGTCGGACATGAAAGGGTCAAAGCTGAGGAAAATACTTCTAGAAGAAGGCAAAGGAAAAATAGCCTCTTTACTCCCTTTACCCTTGGACTGGCTGCGAAGTGGAAGAACTTCTAGAAGTTTGGTGACCAAAACCGTCCCACACTTTCCCAACGTCCTCCCTGTCACACTCAAAACTGCGTCATTTTTTCCGATTGCGGACTCAAAAGCTCCTAGCGTTGGTTCAAGGCCAGCAGCATCCGCCACACCAGGTCCAGTCAAACTCTCCTGGTGGATGTCAAAGGAATTCTGGGCCATCAACTTCGGGACAGCCTGGTCGGTGACCTCTGCAGCCACCTCATCCGTTGCAAAGGAATTCAAAGCCGCTCGCTTCGGGGCAGCCACATGCACTGATTGCGCCAAGGCGGAGACCGCCCCGTCAGGCGCCTCCACGGGCCCCGGATGTTTCATCTGGCGGAGGGCCTGTGCCAACCCCTCCTCATAGCCAGCCGGGGGGTGTCTGGACCCGTGGCTCATAGCAAGGGACCTTTCCCTCGGGCACTGCACAACATCCTGACCTAAGCCTTGTTGGCTCCCTCTTCCTTCTTTTTGTTGGGATCTGTCTTTCCAGGGCCTCCCTTGCCCCACCTCCGATCTTTGCCACCCTTGGGGGCATCCTTGGTCTCGGCCTTGCCCTTCGATTGCCCCTTGTAACTGCTGCTGGTTGTCGACCCCGTCCATCGGGCTGGGCTGTCAACCACTTCATTCTGGCCTCCTGGTAGACATCCTTGCGCGCCTGTCCCATCTCGGGTAGAGGTGTGAGCGAGACTCCCTCCTGAGGCGCTACCTCCGGGCGCTGGGATACCGACCAGTGATTGCCCAGTAGTGTGCTTTCGCACGACTTGAACCGCTGCAACATGATGTCCATGGCAGAAGCCGCGTTGCCAACTAGCAAGAGGTCGGCTGCTGCCGCTAGCGTCAGCAGCTCTCTCTGAACCGGTCCGACCGCCTTGCGGCCCAGCTGTTGCTTGTAGTAAGCCACTGCACAGGGGCGTAACTTCCCAGAGGCCTCCTCTGTCCCCAGCTCGGCCAGAAGGTTGGTCCGCATTTGTGACAGGGCCTGTGCCGCCAGAGCCCCGGGATACCCTACGGAAACCAGCTTCACTTTCGAACTCTGCTGAAAGACACCCTCGTCGCCCTCGTCGGGATGCGAACTCCCCGATGAAGACGTGGTCCCTTCTGAGTTGTCGGAACTGTCCTTCTTGCTCTTCTTGCACAGTGCCTGACGGGCCCTTTTGGATACACGACGGCGCACCCGTTCTTTGGTATCCAGGCCTGTCCCGGAGAACAGGGCCGAAGGGCTCTTCTTGGCAGCCGCTTTGGATTTGGTCCCGTCTAACTTGGCCTCTGAGGTGTGGGATCCCGATGTTCTCTCGGCATCCTCTCTTCTCTTCTTCTTGGAGTCTTTCACCTCTTTCTTCTTCCTCTTTTTCTTCGTCTTCTTTTCCTCTCCTGGTGGAGCACAGGGGCCCCCTGCCCCCGCTGGTGCCGCTCTCAAGAGCTCCTGCTCTCGAATCCTCAACGCCGCTAGCTCGTCGATACCCTCTGCAGGGACCACCTTCTGAAGATTGTGAACCCAGCCATCCTCCTTGTCTGGGTCTCCCATCTTCCTCAACTTCCGGGTGTGCAGCAAAGTGTCCGCCACATCCTCCTGGTTGCAATCGGTGGGACACAAGTGCAAACGGAAGAGGAGATCGGGCTGGCCAGAGTGCTGCTTGAGCAGACCCTCGTGGGTGGTGCCCCGCAACTGAACTTTCAGGGTCACCTCCCCGCCCTTGACCTCTATCCCTTTGATCTCGGCTGAGACCTTGCACTCCTGGTGATAGTACATGGCGGCGTCCATCACCAGTTTGGTCCCTTCGCTCAGGCACCAAGGGGAAAGCTTTGAGGCTTCTACTTCTTGCCCTTGTTCCCACCGGTCCCGAACGCTGTCCTGATGAGCTCCTCGAAGTTGACGAGCTGGACGTCGTAGGGCACCTGGCCCTCTTGCCCTCACCCGGGCCTTTGCTTTTGCCATGGCCAGGGGGGCGGCTTTGGCCTTGGCTTTCGCTTTGGCCTTTGCCACGGCGCCCGCTTTGGCTTTGGCTTTGGCTTTGGGAGCCATTAGTACCGGGGTTGACGGGAACGGTAAGCTTGTCCCCGCAACCGGTACTTGCGTCCTTTGTTCCTCTTCGTCTCCGTCTGAGGTCTCCTCCGGGGGATCTCCGCGTCCCAATCACTGCCCCACGCAAATCCTGGCGGGGGGTGGGCTGGCTCTGCTGGTCTGCGACTGTCGATCGCCCTCTCCTCTCGTGCTGAACTGCTCCGCTCCGGGAGAGTGCCCAGCTCAAACGAGGCCGGGTGTAGCTCCGCGTAGGAGTCGATCTGGTTCTGTAGGTCCTCTGGGACTGCGGCTCCACTCTCAGGGTCGTGCCCCGTAGAAGGCTCCTCGTCCTTGACCTTCTTTGCCTTTCCCTTGTGTCGAGGGGAAGGGCTCTTTCTCTCGTCCTCTGATCCCGTGTGTTTCCTCTTCTTCGTCTTCTTCTTCTCAGAAGACTTCTTGTCTCCCGTCTTGGGCTGCTTACTCTTCTCTGCGCCGTCTTCCTCTCTCTTGGGCTCTACCCTCGTCTCCTTCAAGGGGAGTCTCTTGTCTTTGGCAATCTCCTCCTCTGCCTTGACACTGGCTGCTCCTGTCGCGGGTTCACTGGGATGCTCCTCCTTGGGGTAGTCAGGTGGTATAATCACCCGCCCAGGCTTAGTTTCAGCCAAGTCCTGGATGATCCCGCAACACTCCCTTAGCGCGGCCAGGGCAGCCAGCTCCTGCACGGGCGCAAGCTTGCAGTCTGTCAGCAGCCACCCAATCCTAGAATGGGTGCGGCAGCAAGCGCAGGGATTGCCAATGAAGGTCTCGCAGCGGCCGCAGAGCATCCAAAACTAAAGCTTGAAAAGAACACTTCGGGATCAAAGGAGTTACGTGCAGCATCTTAAAATCCGGGGCTGTATTATCATACATATATATATATATACATATAGATATATACAGATATATATATATATATACATATATATATATGTATACATATATATATATATATGCACATACATATATATATATAATATATATATATCATTCCGAAGTCTGCGTGTGTGTTGCTTGTCGCCAAAATCCTAATATTTGTTGGCTATCTGCTCTAACAACCATCACTAACTCACTAACTGCGTTCCAACACATCGCAATGCGCCTTTCGCACACAGGCAAGCGCTGAGTCCATGTGTCCAGCCAGCTGAAAAGATTTGCCTCGCATCCACCAGGCATGGCTGATGCTGGCCATATTTAAGCTACTTGGGGGCGCACTTCCGAAATCGGTGGAGACATAGCCACATATCACAACTTATGCGGCTTATTGGGTTATTGGCTATTACTATACCCACAACTATTATGGTTAACATGTTGTTTTGTGGTTAACATGTTATTACTATACCCCAGAAAAATGACCCCCAACTGCACCCTCAAGTTCTCGGAGGATCCCACGGATCATCCCAGGGATCGTCCCACAGAGTCGTAACTCACCAGTTGGAATGCGTGGGATGATCCTCTATGTAGTTTTGAGCCAGTTTTAAGCATGGTTAAACCCAGTTAGCTATAGTTATCTCAGTGAAGTACATCAAGTGAGGATATTCACAGATAGTCACCACTAACTAATGTTAACTAATCTTAGCGTCAATAGAAGCTGATCAAATTCTCCCCATCCAGGCTGAGCCAGATCCGCCTGCAGCCAACCAGCAGCTTGCTGCTTCCAGCGATTGCCCAGCAGAGAGGAGCTCTGCCTCGGGATGAAAGCTCCATGTGGGCCATGTGGGCCATGTGGGCCCCAGGGATGTTGAAAAATTGTTTCTTGCTTCATAAAGCCCATGAATGAACAGTAATGAACTACAGTTCTGAATGATGTTCAACTTGATGCTCTTTGCGTATCAACCACTATGGTTACCATAGTGAAATTGGAGCTGTGTCTGTCAACCCCTAACTTAGCGACTGCGTGGTCCATACGCTCTGGTAATCCAACGTGGCTTGTTGGAAAATCCACCGTTGAGTTCAATGACTTTACCAGCTAGAAACCTCCATTTAGTTCTGGATTTCCCAGCCAGCCACGGTTGATGACACCGGAGGCTAACGGCAAAGATCATGCAGGTACTTGATGAGATGGATATCTGAGGAAGCTGCAGATTTCTTGATCCATCGTGCCTGTCAACAAACGCTCAGAATCTGCAGTGATGGTTGAACTGCAAATTCAACGTCACACTTCAAGCATGGTCAAGCAACTAACTAGGGAGAAAAATTGCAAACCGCCAATTATCTCCAAGCTGGTCTTCGCTGCAGTACCCCAAATTTTGACCCGCCGTTTGTTTGCCAATCATGTCAGTTCGGCTGCATCTCCCTTTTTGCCGTCATTCCACAATTTTCCTGCTAAGCTCCACAATAACCTGCCGGAGCTTAATGGTCAGGCTGAACCACTGACCGCTCATTTTGACCACCGATCCCAGTTCAGGTGCCAAGAAAATGCGTATATCAAAGCGAAACCTGTTCTTGCTGTGTATGGCTCTCCATGTGACTACAGGCTTGCCAGGAATGATTTCCACAATTGCGGTTTTGCTGCGAGCGCGGGCATTCAAGTAAAAGGATCTCAGAGCAAAAGGTTTCTGCTATCTTTCAATGGCAGAGTCAACAAAAAAAACATATCTGAGCGGAAGGTTTTGGTCCGCCGTAGAAACTGTTTGTTATCGTTCTATCCCGAGGGTCAGCTAAAGGTTGTACATAGACGGTTTCTACGATCGTTCACTGCGCATGGGCAATCAAAAATCCAAAACCAAGCACTTAAACAGCCGCACTTAGGTGCAGGACGGCTCCTCAAGATGTTTACAACCCAAAAAATAAGACGTGTCGACAGCAATGTCTCAAAAACCTTTCTCAATTGGGGATTGTTTTTATTGGCTTTACCACATTCCCCAATTCTGACACGGCCCATACCCAAAAAACTGTCTGTCCTCGGACCTCCCACCATCACAGCAAATCTCCTTCGCAGAATCTGTTCTCGTTTCACCGACTGCCTGTCAAGCAACAAATCTCGACAGTGACACTTAGCACCTGGCCAGTAACCATGTCTCGTCAGTCCACCTGGTTTGTCCCATTTATCTAGCTTATAGTCTGTCAACTGAGTGTATATCGATATAATATATACATATACATATACATATACATATGCATATACTGTCATATACTGATGTATATGTATGTATATATATATATATATATGCGTGCATCTGTATATGTGAATATGTAGATATATATATATATATGATTATGTGCATAATATATATATATGTATATTATTATATTAGATTATATTATATTATATTGTATTATAAATTCTATCATATTAGATTATATTATATTGTATTAAATTATATCATATATAATCATATATAATCATATATAATCA